ATCGTCGGCACTGGGGGGTGGTATAGGACAGCAACTATGATTGAGGAAAATTCACGAGGAAGTCGTCTAGGTTTTAAATGAAGCCATAAGATTTCGTGTTCGGAACAACATGAAATTTCTGAAAGGATTTTGAGTTTCGTATCACCGTCTCTGATATAAATACAGATTCCGCCATGGTTGTTTATAGATCTATCTTTGCGTATGATTGTAAATCCAGGTATGCTTACAACGCTATCTGTAATTGAGTCATTGAGCCAAGTTTCAGTTAGAAAGGATAAGTTTATCTCATTTTCCATCATGAATTCGCGGACTTCGTCTATTTTAGGGGCCAAAGATCTCACATTAGTCACCATTAATTTTGGAATAAAATTACTAATCCTCTGTTTTAATATAGTGGTATTAAGTTGATGGAGTTCTGTAGTAAGGGGCTTACATGGCAGTGTACAGTTATTTGGAAAGTCAACAGATTCGTTTAATAATGACTGGGTGGCAATAACAAGAAAGTCTGATATCTTGGTGAGTATTTAATAAAATTCAATGAAACTTGGCACACTTAGTGGGTGCACCCATACGAATATTTTTGGAAGGTTATGTGGTTGCCATGGCAACAGACTAGTCCCCAGCTCTTCTCTTCCTTTTTACAAATGTCCTCTTGTAGATCTCTGGCAGAGGATGTTTGCATGTTATAACGGTTTAAGCTGATCACAATACCTACACGTATTATATTAATGAGCGAAAATTGCAGAAATTGCTATTTATTTCGTTGGAAATGGATCACATAGAAATTGGAAGAGAATGGACTGGGGACGAGTGTGTTGCCATGACAACCATATAAACAAGCCAAATTGTTGACTTTGTTACACCCACTAAGTGTGCCGAGTTTCATTGAATTTTATTAAACAGTCACCAAGATATCAGACTTTCTTGTTATTGCCATTATTTCAAGTCCTTCTTGTGACGTCACAACTCAAAATATACAAAGTGCGATAACTTGGGAATGAGATGAGATACGAATAAACTGTAAAGGTCATTCTTCATCATTTGAGCAGTACCTTTTCATAAAACAATGAAAAATGAGGCAAAAATTTCGTTTCATAAGCACTTTAAAATCGTAGTGTAACTTTAGTGTAAATTATTTTTTGCTGCCGAGCACACTATTCTTGACACGTGACACTATTCTTGACACTATTCTTGCACACTATTCTTGACACTATTCTAGCACACTATTCTTGACACTTTTCTCCAGAGTCCACTCGACCCAGTCTTTCGCGCGATCTCTGTATTGCCGAGATCTCGATCTTGTGTCCGTCTGTAAAGATGTCGTAATCCGGGGGGAATAATTAAGCTTTCAAGAACGTTTATAAATGAGAGGAGCGGTCAAAACAAGATTTTGTATTACGCACGCATCTCCATGTGGCAATGTGGCATTGTGCTCAAGATTTTTCAAGCTTTTAAATACGGATGCATGAGATTCAGGTAAGTATGGATCTATTTCTTTCTTCTAAAATACATCAAAGCGATGACCTGTTTAGCGTCCAATCTAGAGGCAAACAATGTGCTTCTATGAGTTAATATCGGCAGTTTTAACTGCCCAAAATATGGCACTGATCGATTGGTCAAAAACAACATTGAATAATGTCTTATTATTAAATACAAGGAGACGAAATGTACTTTCAAGCTCTGGATAATTTATGGCTTTGTTGTAGTAGAACCTGGTGTCGAATTCTTATCTAGATAACTTTACCTAAAGTTGTCAGTGTTTCAAGTTGTACGAACATGTTTTCTTATTACGAATGTGCCAGCTGTAGTGCATGCGAAAACAACTACAACACCTGTGGAGTGTGGATCCCTTTGATGCACAATATAACACATAATACCCATGGTGGTAGGACAAAACAGTGCCAGTGTACCCATGGTGGTACAGACATTGTACCATTGTGTCTATCCATTGTGGTGGAGGCCATGGAGGCCCAAAATATTATTCGACTACCCATTGTGGTAGAGCCAACTGAGGCATAAAATAACATTGATCTGCCAATTGTGGTAGGGCCCATTAAGGCACAAAATAACATTCGACTACCCATTGTGGTAGAGCCCATTAAGGCACAAAATAACATTGAACTATACCCATTGGGGTAGAGCCAATCGAGGCACAAAATAACATTGAACTACCCATTGTGGTAGAGTCAATCGAGGCACAAAATAACATTCGACTACACATTGTGGTAGAGCCCGGCCGTTGAGGTGTTACCTTCACTCTTTATACTTTAGTGTGTAACTTTATTATTATTTAAAACTCACATTTTAACGGTATAAACTTCGAATCTTACAACTATTAATCTCTGTCTTTTCTACACAATACAATTCTCCTAATCTCAATACCGCATGCTCTGTCACGTCATGTGACGTACTTCTGGTCTATTACTAATTACGTAATGTTAAATTCCGTGGGGTACACACTCCCCCTCTAACGAAAAGAGTCGTCTTCGACTTGTGAATACGCGGAACTGTTTCTTCTTCTTCGACTAAGTAACGTTTCTTTTAAAATTAATTATCTTAATTAACTTCCTCTGGAATAGGTTGATCAGGCCCATCGTTACTAATCTGTCCATACATACTAATCTGTCCATACTTGCTTTTTTTTTAGTTACACTAAAACGTTTCCTTTCTACTATATTAATTAAACCATATAGATAATTTGTTCTATAAAATGTTTGTCTACCACAATGGTACGGTAGGAAGGGTTGGGTATGGGTTCCAAAATTGATGTTGAGGGATTATTGGGGGAAATGTTCCAGGTGCATAGGATGGGGTCCAAAATTGGGGTATTGCTGGTGGTATTCCGTTTGGTGGAGGGATTGGAGGGTTCCAATGAAATACAAAAGGTGGAGGGTGAGGTAGATGGAAAGGTTGATTTGTGTAATCGTTGTGGATTGATAGATACTGCTCGACTTTTCCCCCATTAACCGGACTGATATACGCTGAATTTCCAGGACCATAATATGTGAATCTTTGAGGGGGTTGTCTTCTTCACACCACACGATTACCATCAGTTTCCACTTCTGGGTCAGGTATTATGTTCTCAGGATTCCTATCGCCATGCATATTCTCTTCAGAGACATTTGCTTGAGTGTCATTTATGTGATCCTGAACTTCATCAATCACTTCTGGGTTCTCTTGTACTGTATCTTGCAGGATATCTTCCGCAATTATAACCAATCTCATTTGCAGGGTCAATTTCTAGCTAAACTGGATTAGGAGTATCTGGGTTAACTTCCATTCGCTCAGGTTGGTGAACGGTAACTCGAAATTCATCCTCGGTATCACTATCACTGTTCGATCTTTCGTCTTCACTCTCATTGTGAGGTACGCGTTTTCTAGCTCGGTGTGTTTCCGTTGTCTTTCGAGTTAATTCGTGCCAGTTTTCTAATGGCAGATGTTCGCATGGAAGGAGAAGATTTCTATGTAGCACGCGATTACGTCCCCGTCCTGTTTCGGGTCTTAACTCGTAGACTGGACTCTCGGGTCCCTATCGTGAAACGACTACGTGTACTTCCCAAAATGCTCGAAGTTTCCCCGGTCCTCCCCTCGGTGAAAGGTTTCGAACAAGAACACGATCTCCTGGTTGTAAGTCCGTATAGCGTATACGACGATCATAGTTCTTCTTTCCTTCGGCACTTTTCGTAGTAGCTTCGTGAGCAATTCGGTAAGCCTCGGTCATTGCAGTTTTCCACTTCGACACATAATCTGATCGCGAATTACTTTCCGCTTTGTCTGGCAGGTCAAACATTAAGTCAATAGGTAGTCTGGGACTTCTACCGAACAGTAGATAGAATGGTGAATACTTCGTGAACTCGTGTACAGTGCAATTGTACGCATGAATGAGTTTATTAAGGTGATCTTTCCATCTAGACTTATACGACTCTAGTAATGTTCGCAGCATGCCTAACAAAGTACGATTCATCCGCTCAACTATGCCGTTGCCTTGAGGATGGTACGGTGTAGTCCGAGAGCGCATTACGCCGGTTAATTGTTCTAATCGCTTGAAAAAATTGTTCTCAAACTCCCCGCCCATGTCGTGATGGATTTTTTTCGGGACGCCAAACCGTTGTATAAAATCATTAAAAATTCTATCCACCGCCGTCACACCGCTCTTATTTTTCGTAGGGTAGGCTTGAGAATACTTAGTAAAATGATCGACAACTACTAAGATATACTGGTAACCACCGGAACTCTGCTCGAGATGTACAAAGTCAATCGAGATTAATTGGAACGGTGCAGTTGTGACAATTAGTTGTAGCGGTGCAACTGTATGTCGATTGGATTGTTTTTGCTTCAGACATCGGCAGACGTGATGGATAAAATGTTCGATGTCCTTTCGCATGTTTGGCCAGAAGAATCGCTGACGTGCCATTTACAGAAGTACTTTCGAACTTGTGGTGTTTCTCGTCGTAATTCTGTTACAGAAGGTTTATGACTGGTTTTTAAGAGTTGTAAAACGCGAGCTATTGTAGCGTCCTCGTCTTGTGCTTTGACTATGTCCGCGACCTTTAGTTTACTTGCGCCAGCAGGCATTGCCTCATAGTTTTTATCAGGCAGTAGTTCTTTCTCATCAGCGGTTACGGCTGTTATCCGTACGTCACCTGTTTCTTGTGCTTTAACCGCCGAGATAGTAGCTTGAATAACGTCAGGCGAAATCTTGACACTGCAACTTTCCATATACTTTTGTATATCTGGCGGTGGTCTTGATAAACAGTCAGCAACGACGTTAACTCTACCGGGACGATATTTAATTTCGAAAGTAAACTCCGACCCATCGAAGTCCAGTCGCATTTAGCTTCGCAGATGAAAGCACATATGTCAAAGGGTTGTTGTCCGTATACACCACGAACTTCGAGGCGTAGTACAAATAATCTCTAAAGTGTTCAGTTACTGCCCACTTTAAGGCTAGAAACTCCAACTTGCCACTGTGCAAATGATAATTAATTTTTCTCCGCTGGAGTTAATGTTCTAGACGCATAAGCAATTACACGTATTGTTCCTTGCTGTTCCTGGTAAAGTACCGCCGCAAGGCCTTCCTGGGAGGCATCTGTGTGAACTATGAAAGGCGCATCGTACTCCGGGTATGCAAGGATTGGAGGGGATGTTATTTGGTCTATTAGACTTTCTGATGTTCTGAGGTCCACTGCACTAGATTACGAGAAGATCGTACGTTCTTTGTCTCTCCAACTTTACCGTTTTCTTCCTTCAACAGATCGTAGATTGGTTTTGCTTGCTGTGAGAAGTTCTTAATATGCCTACGGTAAACACCTAGCAAACCCACCAGCTTTCGAACATCACCAATAGTAGACGGTGTTGTATGTTTCCACATCTGAACCGCGCTTGTTGCCTTAGGGTCCATGCAATACCCGTGCTGCGATACTAATCTACCAAAGAATGAGACTTATTGTTTAAATAAGTTACATTTCATTGGTCTAAGCTTGACTCGCCACTCTCGCAACCGTCTGAGCACTTTACGTAAGTGTTCGATGTGTTCAGTGAAAGAGCTGGAAAACACGATCACATCGTCTAGGTAAGGAATACAGATCTCATCTCTTAACTGGTCGAGGCAGTGTTCCATGAAACTTTGAAAATTGGCAGGGGCATTCATTAAGCCAAAAGGGATTCTCACCCATTCATACAAACCCCAAGGAGTTATGAAAGCTGTGAGGTGTTGACTTTTTGTTCCCATAAATCCCTGATAGGCCTTGCCCTGGTCAAGGACACTGAACCACGATTTGTCGCCCAAACTGTCAAGTGAATCTTGTATTCAAGGTATTGGATGTCGGTCAGGCACAGTATTTCGATTTAGTTCCCTATAATCTACACACAACCGCATTCCTCCGTCCTTCTTTCGGACACAAACGACACTACTTGAATATGGTGATTTCGACCTTTTAATAAATCCACGATTTAAGAGATCCTCTATGAACCCTTTGACTTCGGGGTAGAAGGGTCGCGGTATTGACGCATAATTTTTCTGGACAGGTTTCTCACTCGTCATAGTTAAATCCATTGTCAACTCTGGAATGCATCCCACATCATCATCTTTTGCAAATGATTCACGCTCATCGTATAGTAATTGCTTAAAAATTAACTTGTTTTAACTATTCACCATTTAACCCAGTCAGGTCTACAGGAGGCAAGTTTTCAGCACTCACGTTGTCGCATTCCTTACTTTCAGTTTGATCAAAGTGCTGATTAGTAGTTGCTTTAGGTTCCTTAAGCTTCACTTCTATTGGAGTTACTGAGGGAACCAGTTGCAAATGCCCTACCACTGTTCTACCGGGAAGAATAATGTCGTGATTTGTTTGATTTGTAATCTTAACGTTCATGAGTGAACAGTTCCCTTGTTTTATTGATTTAAGTTCCTCTTGTAATAATAACCCTGATGGTAATTCAGTATTGTCAATAGGTTCGAAAAGAACTGGAACAGTGCGGTTTATTGGACCAGTGTTCGCACGACAAGGTACATCAATACTTTGATTTTTCGGAATCAAAATATCTGTTTTGCGACATTTTACTTGATAAAGGTCATCAGGCTCATTTGCTGAAATGAGATCTATCAACGCTTGTACTTTCTCTCCCTTACAACTACCAAAACTTTTTTCATTGCATTCACAAATGTCTCTGTATCATCACTTATACTATTAGCTTCCTTAACAATTAGTTCTATGACATTGAATCCGATTATTGGAGGTCCAATATTCTCTTTGGTTACCAAAAACGGTACTAAAATGTCAGGTTGGGTTTCATTTAACCTCACGCTAAGTTCAATCCAACCACAATATGGAATTGGCGTGCCATTTGCAGCTTTCAATTCAATTTTTCCTTGTACTCCTAAGAGTTCTTCCACATTTCTGAGTTTACTTGTCAATGACTGTTTATGCATGAAAGTTTCTGAAACAATCGAGACCTGGGCACCGGTGTCCCACAATGCAGTCACAGCTTTCCCATCTAAATGACAGTTTACGGAACACTTATTCCCTACTAGCTGTGCACCACGAGTATGTTGTTTAGGTGACAGGTGACTCGGATAAACCTGATTATCTCCCGGGGCAACATAGTTAGCTTCTTGCTCAAGCTTTTTCAGCATCTCAATGGTCTTGCATAAGTTCCTATGCTTTGGCCAGTGTTGTCGCTGACAGTTTTCCGAACAATATAGTATAGATTTACACCGTGAACACTGCAACATTTTACTTGTTAATACCGTGTCCGATCTAGCGCAATTACTGCATTGGGACCTATTTGTATTGTCATCAGCTACACCCTGTCCCGTGGGGGTAGCCTCTGTCCGTTTCCCGACCCATATTGCTTCCCCTTTCTACAATACCGAGCAATGTGATTTAATTCCCCACAATGAAAGCAATGCCTACACTCGTCAGTAGGTTTACAATTTTCACATTTGCGAGACGGTTTTGCTGTGCTCGGGTTTTGATTCTGATTATGCACAGTCTCACGAAGTGTTTTCATCTCATTCTGCATGGCAGATAGGTCAGTCTTGACTTGTTTAATAGCTGCCAAAATCTCTTTCTTCTCCGTGTCATCCTCTTTTTGAACTGCCGAAACGCGTGCTTTCATGCTTTTTCCTGGACTTGCTACATTAAACTTCTTACTATACGTTCCGTTTCTGCCGACACCGCTAAAAACATTGCTTCAATTAGTTCTTCATCGGACACATCAGTTTTTGATACTAAAGGGCGAAGTTTGGCCCGGATTGTCTCATCTTTAAGGCCGGTTTCGAGTGCATGTACCGGGTGTCCCCCAAAAAAGTACTCCTGTTTGATTCGTAATAACTTCTAAACAAGTAGAGCTTTTAAAGAGAAATAACTTGCATTAAATAGAGGAAGGACTAACTTAGATTTTGATATATTACAGTTGTACTTTACTTAAAAAGTCACGGAGATATCAATGTTCAAAATCGGGAGCATATTTTGGGATGTCTAAAATTAGCGAAAATCGGCATATCAAATATTAATTCCAGCGTTTGTTTGCTTAATGACATATCCGGCTAACTTGTATTTCAGCGAATTGTCGTTAGGGTTTGTAAGGGATATGGCGTAGATTTAGACATCTTACATGTAAGTCTTAGCTCATTGTTTCCTGAAATATGAACTTCGAAATTATGCAAGTATTTAATAGGTCTTTACAAACTTAAAGGTACATGAAAGACGATGGAAGGCAGGCGCTTAAATTTTTCTTAAATAGCATAATTTTTTTATGTTTTTAATTAATGGGTTCAAACAGACTGAGTTGATTATTTCTCGGTTAGAGCAGGATGAATATTAATAACTTACTGACCGAGAGTGAGGGCAGTACGGGAAAATATCCAACCGAGGTCTTGCTGTATTGACCGAGCGATAGCGAGGTCAATACAGCAAGACCGAGGTTGGATATTTTCCCGTACTGCCCGAACGGTTGAGGTCGGTAAGTTTTATATTATATGGCATTGTACGTTTGTAAAAAATGGGTAAAAAAGGTCACGCGAGGGCAAAGTACGAAACATTTGTAAAAAATGTTCTCAAGCTTGGTTAGTAAAACTACTCTACAGCAATTTTTATATAGAATACTAACACAGTTGGATAGTATTTCAAGAAAAATACGAGGTATTTCGTCATTTAATCAAAGACAAAGACAACAAATATGAAAACAATAAAATTAATAAACAGTATGGACAAGTACGTTTTTAGTTCGCTTCATCTCATAAATAGTCTCTTTTTATCGAAAAACCCCAGAAATTTTCAGGGAAAAAATATAAATCTGTGGCTGCTTTAGTTGTATTTTTTATTTAGGATGGTGTCAAATTCCTCGGCTATCTGCAAATAAGATTTGCAGCTCTTCACAAAGTCAAAACACAGCTATTCCTGACTTCTTTAATAGTTATAAACATTGTAAAATTTACCTTGTAATTTCGACTTTCGCTAACAAAAACATATTGAGAAAGTTCTTTATCCAAAGAAGGTGCTCCTTTTCTTTAGTTTAGGTTTATTTTTCTTCGTTTTGAAAGACTTTTAGACACTTTTTGCCGTTTGAAACTCGGCTCTTGTCGCGGGGCAAAAAAATTGCGTATTGCCCGTGGGCAATACGGGAAAATCCTGCCTCGTCAGCAGCCAATCAAATTGCGCGATTCATCAAAACAAATGCTTGCCGTATAATAATATTCTTTATTGAAAGAAGTAATATTGCTTTTTGCAAATACGCATCACCGCGTATCAATGCTACTATTTTGTTACGTTTTATTCCAAAAATATTGCATGTCTCTGGGGAGTTGCTTAATTGTTATGATAAGTTATGTCTTATGAAGTTGTATGGTTTGATTGTGTTTCATATAATTCTCAGTTTACTCTGAACTTGCCAAGATTAAGAAAAGGCAAAAGAGTTTGGGTGTTCCTAACAAGATTTCAGAACGTTGCAGAAGTTAGAAGAGCTTCACAATTCCATTGTGACAGCATGCCCTAATTCAGAACTACGAACGATCGATGACGATCCTTCGCGATGCAGTGGTCTCATGAAATAAGGAAACGTATTCGTGCTAGGAACACTTACTGGTAATAGTGCATGTTTCAGTCGGGCAAATCTTGATTAATATTTGATACGCCGTTTTTTGCATGTTTCAGACACATCGAGAAATATGCTCCCGATTTTAAACATTAATATCTCCGTGAATTTTAAGTGAAATACAACTGTAATATATCAAAATCTAAGTTAATCCTTCCTCTATTTGATGCAAGTTATTTCTCTTTAAAAGCTTTACTTGTTTAGAAGTTATTACGAATCAAACATGCAGGAGTACTTTTTTGGGGACACCCGGTAGAAATAAACTTTGTACCGAAAAACTGTCATACGTAATCTCAATACCTGATTCCTTCGAAGCAAATAAAATCTTCTGTCTGATGGTTAGTGCTCTCATCAGAAATGCTTCGGAATCTTCATTCGGCTGTTGAGCTATATTAGTCAATGCCTGATACAATTCGGTTGCATTTTTCTCGTGAAAATGAAAGCGAAGAATCTTTCACAGTCTAGCTAGGGTTAGGTCACCTACACTTTCTAAGTAGCTTCGAAGCTGTAAACCAGGTTGAACAGCTCTAATTACTGCAGTAACTATTTCTTTATTTGTATAACCTTTCCCTAACCCAATTTCCACTTGCAACATTAATGATTGGTAGCCTAATTTGTCCCTTTGCCCAACTTCGCCTATTGTTCCTTGAATCTTGAAATCTCTATGCAAAATTGTTGCCTGCAAGCCCGAGTTTAACCCCAACAAAGGCATTTTTGTTGAGTCAGCAACAGTAGGGCTGCTTCCACTTGACTTGGGAATATTTTCCGACTGTTTTGCTTGTAAAAGCTTTTCTTGAATAGCTTTTTGTTGCGACTCAATTGCTTTTAGCTCTATTTCGAGCTTTTCGAGCTCAGAAGAAGGCTTTAACGTGTTACCTTCCTCATCTGACGGCTTAGGCTGAGCATTTTGGTCGAGAAAATCAATTAAACCCTTTAAATATTCGTTAGTCTGTTCGTCAGAATCGAACGTGTTTATAATCTTTTCGAGTTCGGTTCGAATTACTCATATTAGGGAGCGGTCATAAAGTAAGTGCTACCCCGGGGCGGAGGATATTTTTAATTTTGTGAAAAAAATTTCATACCTCCACAAACTTGTCGGATAATATTTGGTACCCCATCAAGATAACGGTCTCAATGTTTCATACCCCATCATAAAACGATAAGCTTACCGGAGTTTATTCATGTTGATATGACCTGGGGTGTGCTGATTGGGCTAAAAAATTCTGTTGAGTAATTGCCATTATCCTATAAGTTTGATTTTTACTAAGTTTTATCTTTCTTTAACTTAAAAATAACAAAAAAGTAAAATTCAAATCCAAAATGCTGTTTTTTGGCCCCATTGAATACGGCCGCCTGTCAAAAAATGGCGAATATTACCAATATTTTACCCATTTTGGTTATTTTATGTAAAGAGATAAAAAAAACATTTTGGCATGTGATAATTTTTTAGTTCTTTTACATTCAAAAGACATACTTTTATGTTATGGCATACCTCAGATGTCCATCAACACCACCATTTTTCTTTACAAGCTGGCATTTCTGTACCATATGAAAAGACATACAACTGAAACTGACCTGTCTCTCCATATAAACAATCCAAATCATTTTCAACATCACTGATTGAGTGATTTCACCATCATCACTGTGACACTGTCATTGTTGTCATATTTATATTCCATAAATCGCATAATATTTGCAATTTCGCATTCTGCTGAAACTCTAGCTCTTTTTGGTGGCATAACTTCTTCAGTGTAAACCGAAGAAACAATGAACTGAATGAAGTCGATCAAGAAAAGTTTGTAGAAAAATATGAAATGGCGACCATGTTTATAACCAGGCCAATATTGGCAATATACTATGTGTTACATGAAGTGTAACACAGGTGGGCTACGAGCCTGCAGTATAGTTTTGAAAACACAATATTTATAAATATTTATACTAAATTGGTCACAGGGGGTCCAACTAAGAGCTGTGTTATGAATATGAATAAAACATTAATTAAACGTAATATGAATAAAACATCATAACGTAATATATTTAAATTATTGCACTTACTTGTATAAATCATAAGAGCTTGTATTTGCAGTGAATAGCTTTTAACAGGGCGCTTATACACGCTCAGAAAATCGCTCAGAAACATTTTGATTCGAACGATTGTTCAAATATGGCGAATAAATTGACAAAACGAAAATATTACATGACGTTCCAACGAAAGTAACAGCAAGGATTGCGGGCGCGCGAGCAAGCGAAAAGGCGAGGGAAGAAATAAATAGAAGGGATGAAACAAATATCACGTGACTTTTTAAAATGCTTCTAGACTACCCGTTTAAGCTTTTTGTGGGGTTTTTAAGGCTCAGTCGATGTTCTCTTACATGAACAAGCCTAGTCATTACCAAAAAAGCACTGATCAATCTAATTTATGTGATTTATAACAGCGAGCATTCTTGGCCATTATCGCGAGATGTGTTCCATAAGTAGCCTGTTCTCGTGACGTATGACGAAATAATAATAAAACTAAATAATGTAAAAAAAACCGTTGGTCGCTACATTTAAACATTTCATATTAGCCGGTATAGCTAAACATTGTTTATTTTCATTAATTAAGCGCTTAGGCGTTGTTGGAGTTGGCAGGAGGCGTTTTGGAATTTTCCGAGAGAACAGGCTACTTATGGAACACATCACACGATCGCATTACCGGTGTTTCATCCCTTCTATTAATATCTATTACCCTCGCCTTCCGCTCACGCCCGCAATCCTTGCTGTTATTTTCGTTGGAACGTCATGTAATATTTTCGTTTTGTCAATTTATTCGCCATATTTGGACAATCGTTCGAATCAAGTGTTTCTGAGCGATTTTCTGAGCGTGTATAAGCGCCCTGTTAAAAGCTATTCACTGCAAATACAAGCTCTTATGATTTATACAAGTAAGTGCAATAATTTAAATATATTACGTTATGATGTTTTATTCATATTACTTAATTAATGTTTTATTCATATTCATAACACAGCTCTTAGTTGGACCCCCTGTGAATTGGTTTCATATTCTGCAATATATAGACCTTATTCATAAATCGTGACGAGGCCTCGTATTCTAGGATACGGGAAAAAAACGCGGGAAAACAAGCGAAAACTGCTTGACAAGCCAAATTCAGATGCTATATATCGACTTCAACGGCTTGTTTCTTGTTGCTTTTTGCGATTTATAACGATTTTGTGTGTATTTTAAGACTTTGTGCCCACAACGAAAGCGGTAAACGAGTATATTATAAAAGCGACCGGTTTTTCTCCCGTTTTTGTGTGGGAAAAATGATAACATAGCGACAGTGTTTATCCAGAAGCGAAAAACAGTATTTTACTGAGATATTAACATCAATATAAAGGTTATTCCGTGAAGAATCAAGACAACTATGGAATGGAAGTATAATTTTTCGAATTTGACATTAATATGAAAGAAAACAAGAGGTCCAAAATCACAAGAGAACGTCAAATGTCATTGATTTGTACGGGAAAATATGAACTATGGCTGTGGCTCGATAACATTCTGCAAGCAGCTTACAAGTTTAAAAAATGAAGGCTACATTACCTGAGTGAGTTGTAATCTTATTTCTTCAACAATAGTTTCATATTTCTTACGCTTTTGGTGTTGTATAGACGTTTTGTAGCCTTGTTGGTTGTTTGTTTTGGCCATACAAACAACGACAATAATACAAAGTCAAAGGTTTTCTTTTTCGATTGACTCCAGCATTTTTTGCTTTAAATATCATGTTATATTTTCTCAGAAGTATTTTTTTCAACTTTCAAACTCAGTTTTATAGATATTATTTTCGAAAAAAGCCGTAATATTGATGAAAAAAAGCTGCCATAGCCGACAGCAAAAAAAACATTTTGTCAATTTTCCCGCGTTTTTCCCCGTTTCCTAGGATACGAGGCCTCGATCACGATTTATGAATAAGGTCTATTATGGTTCCTAAATCTTTGGTGTTTGCTCAACCTTGAAGGTACAAAGAAATATGTGTATTTGTATATATAAAAATATTATAAATAAGTATTTTATATTATATAAGTATTTTATAATATACTATATATTTATATATTTAATCTCTGATAGTCATATTTAATATACTATATTTTACTATTTTATATAATATATTATGGATATTTTACTTTGCAAATCATGTGTAATAATCCATCTTTATATGTTCTCTAATTAATATACTGTACTAATATACCAAAAAATACTGTCCAATCCACATTTTCCCATTTTTGGCCCAGACACCTTGTTTGACAAATGTTGTCAAACGTCCAGATAACGTTGAATTTTCAGAAAATCAAATGGATTCATTTGTTCAGGAATGACGGCTAAATATTTATTTGGGTGCGCTCATTGTGCGCACCCCCGGTTCAAATAGGGTTAAAAATGATTACACTGTGTATTAAATATACGGTACAATAATCTCTCTTACAGCCATTCTTGGAATAATATTTGTGTCATCATGTAATCGCGCTCCACACAAGCTCATGAAAAGGAATAAAATCACAACACAAAGAGCAACTGCAAGGGAGACTACATGAGCAACGGTCAAATCTTTTATGAGACAATGATGGCAGTGATGTATGAAAAATTATTTGGACCATGAACGGAGCCATAATATTAAACTGTATTAACACAAATTTTGTATTGAAAAAACAAATTTTGTTTCATACCCCCTCTTTAAAGTGATAAATTTATTTCATACCCCATCCAAATCCCTGAAAAAAATTTCATACCCCATCCCAATATCCTTCGCCCCGGGGTAGCACTTACTTTATGACCGCTCCCTAAAATTTATTTTGGAAAAGTGCGCATTAAGCATTTATATAGCAACTTTCTGAAAAACAGCACAAAATCAGTAAGTGCGACTGAAAGCATGTTTTCATAATTTTGTACCCAGAACGTCTGGCGTTTTTCTCCCCTATACCCCTGGCTTCCGGTAGAACTTTTATAGCTGAGTTTGGATATTTAATAAGTGTGTACGTAATGCGGGAAAAACTTGCAGTTTGGTTATGAAATTTTGTATTTTAACTAACATTTGGTTTGGGAACGTTTCTAATTGTCTTTCTTTCAAATTTCACTTTGAAGACATCACAAAATTTATAATAATGGTCAAAAATGGCAATAATAATGGTGAACAAGGCCATTTTCTTAAAAAAGCATGCGGGCGGGGATGAGAAACTAATATCCAGCAAATAGTGGCCTAAAGACAATTCGTAGTATATTAGCAATCGTATGAATTTAATACAATCGTATGAATTTAAGGTTACAATATATGATGAGACTCTGATTTTGTCCAAAATTTTTTTTTATATAGTTATATTAAGTAATGATATATCTATCAATTCCAGCAACTTTTTTAAGGGCCTGTTCATATGATCCCGCTTACCGGGACGTCTCGCTTACCGAGATGAATATTTCCGTGCGTTCATATGGAGTATTTCGTCCCGCTTGCCGAGATGAAATTACAATGTAGTTCTATAATTAGCGTATGCAAAACTTCTACATTTCAGTCAAGCAACACAAATACTTGGCGATTTTAGTGTTTTTCTTCGTTTATTTACAAGAAAAAGTATTGCTTCAGGTGGTTATTTAATACTTGTTTACAAAACAAACATAAAACCAAGTAAAAAGTGTTAAATTAAACCGGCAAGACTTGTTTCACTTCATCCCGGTAAGCGGGCTGGCGTGTTCATATGGAAAAATTTTCATCCCGCCTACCTATGATCTCGGCAAATTCAAACGAGATCTCGGCAAGCGGACCAGCTCGCTTTCCCATATGAACACAATGCAAAATTTTATAGGAAAATAGATAGGCGGCGAGATCATCGGTAAGCGAGACGTCCCGGTAAGCGGGATCATATGAACAGGCCCTAAGAAAATGTTAAAAAGCGACCGAGATATAGGGGAACATGCTA